TGGCTGAGTTGTGGGTGTGGTGGTGGTGGTGGTGGGGGGGGGGGGGTTAGAAAGGGGTTGGAAGTAGAAACTATCAATTTTGCAAATAGAGCAACATAATAAAGGCATTCCAAATGCGAGAACGTTTCCATTTACATTAGATGTCACTGTCAACGGAATCTTACCGTATTTTTTATTCTATTTACATTGACTGTAGTAATAATAGTACTAGTTGTAGTAGTAGCAATAGTAGTTTAGTAATGAGAATAATATTAAAAATGAATCTAATTATTTTTTCAAGTCATAGCACAAAGAAACTATAGGACCTCAGATGTTACTCATTCTTCTAAAACCATTTGATGTTAGAAGAGGTGCATATCTTAGCCTTATAGTTCATTCAACACACAAGTACTCACGATATTCGATTGTGACTTGGCCAGTTGGCACACATAGCTAGCCTCCACCACGGGACAAGTGTTGCACACATGACCAACAATCTCCCCCTCAATAATTGCTTCCGCTGGAAATCAAACTCGTGACCTTGGCTCCGATACCACTTGTGAGAAATAAGAAGTTGTAAGAATAAAAAAGGAATTGGAGGAAACTCCAAAAATAGAAAAAAATAATAGAAGTTGGACAAAAATAAAAAAATGTTGAAAGAAATTGGAAAAGTTGGAAAAAATTCAATTAGTTGAAAATGTTAGATGTTAAATACTAGAGTTGGTCGTCAAAATCAACAAATGCACTCTCAAACTCTCTCGTCATGAAACGAAAATCAGTCTCTAATTTTAGTGGTTATTGATTCTCAAGGAAGTACTTCCGCCGACTCTATTCTAGTACATGTGCTCCAAGATTCTTCTAGTTACCGATTATTAGTTTGCGGTAGCATATTAAAAATATTAGGGATATTAGGTGTAACGAGAGAGAGAGAGAGAGAGAGAGAGAGAGAGAGAGAGAGAGAATGAAGGAAATCGAATCCCATTGGGATTCGACTTGGTGAGTTTCAATTCCTAATTTTTCCTATTCTTGTTATAGTATGTATAGAATCATGGTAGATTTAAAAATTTACTTATTTGCTTAGCCTCTTTCTTTATAAAAAGAGTTGAATCTTTTTTATCTTCAAGACAATTCAATATAGAATTTTTTAACCTTATTATGGTATTTGAGCGACTTTTCAATTTTTTGAGACTTCAACCACGCTTCTACTCTCCTGTCGGTGGGCATACTTACTTCAACAACCATATTCTTTTTGAGACTTCAACAGCCATATTCTTTTTGAGACTTCAACCACGCTTCCACTCTCCTGTCGCTGGGCATACTTACTTCAATGCCTACCGCGAGATATCATGTCCTTTTTTCTCCATGAATAATTGCTAGGCGTGCCTTTTTGCTGCGTTCGGCCGGTATAGCACCATCTGCGTCAGCCTCGTTCACCATGGCAACCTCTGAAAGTCCGCTAAAGATAGCCACCAGTGCACGCTCTCTCTAAATTCGGTGTGGAAAATGTCTGTTCCTCGACAAAGAATATGGCTGTTGAGGAATCAGAGTCACTAATTAAGAAGAAATTGTCTGAAAAGGGTTGTCCTGTAAGAAGTGGGCAATTTCGTAATGTGTGTGCAATTTTTTTAAATGGCATTCTGGGTGTTCGAAAGTTAGTCTTGTTCATTTGAAATCGTTGAAGGTCCAAAAAGAATGTCGTTCCTTTACTTGACAGCGAAAACGAAAAGAGTGGCGTCTCTATCAAAGAGGAAGAAAATTTATTTTTTAAGTGTTCAGATGACACTTGAATAGAGATTGTTGGAATATGTGTTGTCCAAGCTCGACACTCGTAATTAGGATTGTAAACAAATCAAATTGAATATTCATGAATAATATTCGTATTCGTTAAGATAATGTGATATTTGAATTCGAATTTGAATTCGGTTCAAATATTTTTTTTAAATTCATATTCAGTTCTTTTAATATATTAAACATATTCCGTTTGTTTAGAAATTTGATTTGTTTTAAAATATTCTCTTCATTTATATTTTAAATTATTTTATAACCATTTGAACTATTAATTAGCTATTAGAAAAAAATTATAAACTCATTACACACACACACACACATATACATATATAAAATTTGTACAATTAAATTTATATTCCGACTATTTTCGTCAAACTCGCGAATTGAATACCCTTGATTCGTATTCGTATTCAATAAGGACTGGAATATTTATTTAGATTTGTATTCAGATTCAAAAAAATCGAATACGAATCAGGAATTGAACAAAAATTTTCGGTTCATTTATTCTCTTGTGATCATAAACAATTGTTCTACTTTGGTTAGGATTCTCCATGTATTTTTTTTTTTACATATATTGATGTAACTCTCATTATTGACGATAAAAGCAATTATTATTAGATTGTATCAATAGAAATAATGACAATAATATTTATAAATATAATATTACTAATAATAATACTAATACTAACAATAACAAAACAACAACAATAATAACAATAACTGCATGAAAAAAAATTCTCTTTATGTCTCATAATTGATTACAAAGTTTACTATTTTAAAATTACGATAATTTTTGTTTATCAGTGAATTTTCATTGATTATTATTTGATAAAATAAAATATTTTTGTCACTTCTTGTTTATCAGAAAATTTTAATGTAGTTTCAAATATGCAAGTTTTATATTTTATTTCTATATGGCAGACTAACATTTCAAAAAAATAATTTAAATAAAATTTTTGTCATTTTGTATAGTTTGTAATTCATTATGAGACTAATGAGAGGGATGGAGTAATTTGTAATAATTGATTGACAACTGCACTCATCGTAGTCTTGTTATCTTGTACCCGGAGTAAGAAAAAAAAGCAAGTGATTGTGGTGCCTCAAGTGCCACGGGGTGAATCTATTTTATGGTGGGATCATGGAGGCAGAAAACAGTGCAAAATTGGTCTTTTCATGTTCAATAAATGTCTTTTTTTTTTTTCATTTTTTCTACATCCGATTCAATTTTTTTTTATTTTTTCTCTATTTTGTTTTTGAAAGAGATATGTATGTGATATCAAATATTTTTTTAAACAATTTTTATTCTCTTAACTTTTATTTATCAAAATATTTTTTAAAAATATTTTTTTTAATCTCAATGATATCAAAGCGAAAATAGAGATGCTCGAAGTAGGGGAAAACATTTATTTTATGAAAAATTGGGGAGGAAGTGGCACAATTTAATTTTTCAATTTAGCTTGGGGTTTTTATGAGCGACAAAGAATTTGGAGGGGTATTTTTTTTACTTTTATAACTATTGGAGATGTATCTAAAGATACATAATTCTCTGTAGTACTCATTTCGAAGTAAAGTAGTACTCATTCTCACACAAACACAATGACAAATTTGAAAAAGCGTGATACTCATTTTGAAATAACGCAGTACTCATACTGAATTAATATCGTACTCATTTTCACATATTTGTTCAATACTCCGTATTAATTTATGAATAACGTAATATTCATTTTAAAACCCAATAATACTCATTACCATATAATCTAATACTCATTTTTAAATAACATACCATTCATATGTCCATTCGTAAGTTGAGATTTGCTATATCTCTAGCTGGAAGTGGAAGACCACCGCTGGAGCAATTGAAAGCAAAATCTCTAGATGCGTCCACCAGAGCCGATTTGACCAGATCTTCGCATATTCAAGCTGCTTTTAGATCGGGGACAAGACCTTCATCGTCCAATCACTGATCGGACTTGCAAACAATCTCCATTGGATCATCATTGTCAAATCGTCGATTGAGAATCCAACCAGCCTCCATCACGCAACCTCCTTTATCTCCGATCAATTTGCCCGTTCCTGCCACAGTTCTTCATTTCGTCCCAAGTAAACACCGGTTTTACAGGTGTTTTCGCACAGTCGGTTGTATAATATAAAATTCGGTGATTCAAGGGTTGAGAAAGTTTTTATGTACATACTCCATATTAAATTCTAATAAAGTCTTTGGTAATTAATACATAAACACTCTTCCTTCTCTCTGTGTAAAGTGAATAAAAATCTCATTTTTTAAATTTATTTTATTTAAAAATTTATAATGGAATAAGAGATACATGAACGAAGTAATTAACATTCTCCCTCCGTCCAAAAAACAATTAGATTCTTCACTGTTCAAAAAACATAGAAATTTTTGTTTATCGTGCGTTTTGATTAATTATTTGATAAAATAAAATATTCTTATCACATCCTTTTTTGTAGAACTTTTGATGTAATTTTAAAATATGTAAGCTTTATTTTTTAATTTCTATATCAATCTTTAAATAAAATGAATTAAAAAAAACTTGAAAATTCATTTTGTTTACATAAGTGTAAAACATTTTGGGATGAAATGAGTATTTAAAATATAAGTCAAACGCTCTATAAAACAAGAGATTATAATAATATTTCTCTCGTATAATGGTTAAAGTTACTCTATTTATGTAAAGAGCCCCCTTCTTTGACAATGAAGGGTGTTGTCATAATATGAAAACACCTCCAATCGGAGTACCTATGGTGTTCCGATTATAAAATTGATTGTTCTTACTCCTCATAATTCTCTAGCAAACCCTCCACCTGGCCTCCCTAAAGCATCGCCCCAACCCCTTCAATTTTATTTTCCAAATTTATTTGACTTTTGAGTAAAAAAAATTTGACCCAAAAGTCATTATAAATTTGGAAAATAAAATTGAAGGGGTTCGGGTGAAGGGTTCGGGGTGGGCCGAGGTGGAAGAGTTTGCCAGGGGAGAGGAAGTTAAGAGGGGTATGAACTATCAATTTTACGATCGGAGTCCCGTAGGTACTCCGATCGAAGTTGTTGTCATATTATGACATTATTTTTTGTTGTCAAAAGAAGGGAGGTGTTTTGTAAAAAAGACAAATTTATTCTTTAAAATTGACTAACATCTTAAATTTATTTTTGTGTGTTTAACAACAAAGTTATCTATTTAACTATAAATAAGATATATATTACTAGAAGGTGTAATATCTCGTGTTATGATGGAAATGGAAAGAATTTAAAAAAAAAATAGTACTAATCATACCAACAACATATGTCTTATTTTTGGGTGCTTATTACTTAGAAACTCCTTGGTAAGCGTGTTGGACTCAGAACAATTATAGGATGGATGGCCCTCTAGAAAGTTCTTTGGGTGCGCACAAGTGAGAACAAAGTACGCGGGAAAGACTTATGTTGGATTGTTGGGTTATTCTACAATCTTATAATTAAGCAGATACTTCCAGCCAAGATGGGGGCTTGAGTGTTAGAAATTGTATCAGAGCAACCCTTCAACTGTGACGGGCCAACGGGCTTAGTTCACCTAGTGGGAAAAATCTAGGAGTTTGAGAAAAAAAATGTAACGAGGATATTGTATTTCTAAGTAGGGTGAATGCAATACTCTATGTTATGATGTGAATGAAAATAGCTCAAAAGAATTGAAAGTACATTGCTACTATTCATACTAATAAGATGTATCTTCTCTTGAGAGTTTATCACCTAGAATCTTCAAAATTAAGCGTGGTGGATTAGAAACAATTCTAAGGTGAGCAACCTCCTAAAAAATTTCTTGAGCGTATATGAGTGAGAACAAAATAGATAGAAAAGACTTTTGTTAATTGGTGCGGGCAATTCTACAATGCTATGAACAAAGAGTAATGCTAGAGTCACAAACTACTGGGACACAAATTACACAAACTTGCTATTTATGTATCTCAATTTTCATTTTGTAAGCATTTAATATCACTTTATTCAATTGGAAAAGTACACAAATAGCAAGTTTGTGTAATTTGTGTCCCAGTAGTTTGTGACTCTAGCATTACTCATGAACAAATACTTTTCTATCATATGAGTACTCGAGTACGCATTTTCTTTTTGAAAAATGCTTGGTTCACAAACACAATGGTCACAAACTTCACAAACTTACTATTTGTGAACTTCTATAAAGAAAATTAAATAGTCTAAAAAGAATTAAAATGAAAATTTAAACTACAAATAGTAAGTTTGTGACTATTCTGTTTGTGAACATAACATCCCTCTTTCTTTTTACTGCTCTCCCTAGATCTCAGCACACGTCATCAGCCCCCCCTCTTTTTATGAAAGCAACTCTGACCGAGCATCTATGGTCTCATACTCTCATTAGCCTCGCCATTCTCTCCGACCACAATTCGGCTTCTCAGTACATGGCCGCCGCATTTCAATCCTCTGCTCTGTGCTTCACCGGAGTCTCAGCATCTTCCGGCCGAAGAAACTTTGGGGGGAGTCAATTCTCGGGATCGTCGCCGGCTTCTCAGAGATTCCGTTCCCGATCTTCAGCCGCCTTTCCCAGCTCCAGAATTCACGGTATTTCATTTTATTTTTCCTGATTTTTTAGGTCTCCTCTTTTCCACAGTTAAGAGGTTCTGAAATGAACTCAAAATTGATTTTTTAGGGCTCTTCTTTTACTCAAATTTGGAGCTTTTTATGAAGATATCTAGCCAACACCAATAGTATTTGGTAGCTTTATTCTACAAGAATAGACCACAAAAGTTATCACTAGAGTTCTGTGTGATGAACTAAAATGTGCTTTTATCATTGTACAATTATTCAAGGAAGAGCATTGCCAAGCGATAATGTGCCTCTTGAAGAGGATGGATCTCGACTAGTGGTTTGTTTTGGGGAGATGCTAATCGATTTCGTCCCAACCACAAGTGGACTTTCTTTAGCCGAAGCACCTGCTTTTAAAAAGGCTCCAGGGGGTGCACCAGCTAATGTTGCTGTTGGCATATCTCGCCTAGGTGGTTCATCGGCTTTCATAGGCAAGGTATCATATGATACTATGTGAAATATTGCATCTTGAGACTGAAACCACACATCTTCAAAGTATAAAACTAGAAAACCAGCAGTTAATATTTGGATTAAACTTTATATTATGCTGACTTTTAGGATGAGGTATCAAGTCTAATATGGTAATAGATCACATTAACCGATGATATTGAACATGTGCAGGTCGGTGAAGATGAGTTTGGCTTCATGCTTGCCGATATTTTGATGGAGAATAATGTGAACAAGGAAGGGATGCGGTTCGATCCCGGTGCTCGTACTGCTTTGGCATTTGTAACACTTAGAAAGGATGGGGAGCGTGAATTCATGTTTTACCGTAATCCTAGTGCAGATATGTTGCTGCAACCGAATGAACTTGATTTTGAATTAATTAAGAAGGTATGTAAAGTTTGATGGTTACTTTGGAACAGGCTCTATACTATTAAGTAGGGTTAATTTTTGCGGATACACACCCTCAGAGTCTCAGACCCTGTTTTTTGTGCAATTCTACCGGGCATGTTGTTGTACATTGGTTAAGGTTATTTAACATTAGTAAACCGATGCATTGATTCATTCATATAAAATTTTATAATAGGAGTTTCACACATGCAAAAAAAAGATTTGCTTATTTTTTGGTGTGTTGGGGCTTGGGTTGGCCTTCTCCATTGCATTTGAGATTTGTATTTATGTAGATTGATAGTTGTTGTCTCTGTTGATAGGCAAAAATTTTCCATTATGGTTCCATAAGCTTAATTACTGAGCCATGCAAATCAGCACATGTTGCTGCAGCTAAAGCTGCAAAGGATGCTGGTGTAATTCTGTCATATGATCCGAACCTGAGGCTTCCGCTATGGCCATCAGCAGAAAGTGCCAGGGAAGGAATCTTTAGCATATGGGATACTGCTGATATTATTAAGGTACTTTTTGTAGGATTGCAAATGACGCCATATCTTTTGCGCTAAAAAAACATACAACAAAACAAACCAGCATACTCTGTATTAAGTATTGAGCTACTTGCCAAGTAAGTCTTGGGACGAATGTGCAAAACCAGAGTTTGGATCATAAATCTAATTCATTTGTTTATAATTACAATCAGGTTAGTGAAGAAGAGATTTCATTTCTGACACAAGGAGAAGACCCATATGATGACGATGTTGTTCGTAAACTTTACCATCCAAACCTCAAATTGCTCCTTGTCACAGAAGGTCCAGCAGGTTGTCGATATTACACCAAGGTAAGCTTCCAAATGCAATCCTCTACTTGATCAATTCTTTGAAATGCAATTTTATGGGTCACACCATTTTTTTTCTAGTAGAGAGGGGCTAAAACCAGAACAGTGTAAGGATTTGATCTTTTAGACTTGAAAAATCAATACACTTGCCACTAAAATTCATATATTTACCCTCCCATATCAAGATGAGTTTACGAAAATTAAACTACGACTGTTAAAAACTCATTAATCATTATCATGTGCCCATGCATTAAAAAGACCCTTTATTCACTTATATAAGCTATAGTTTCTTAAGACTGCAAGAACCTTGTATATATAATATATTAACAGGAGTTTAATGGAAGAGTTGCGGGGTTGAGGGTGGAAGCTGTGGACACTACTGGTGCAGGAGATGCCTTTGTTGCCGGTATACTGTCACAATTAGCATCCGATGAATCATTGCTTCAGGTACTAATTAGCATGTGACTGTTAATGTATATTATGCTTTTGATGTACCAAAAGAGTCAAACTGTGTTAATCTTTTTGGAACAGAGAAAGTATAATTTATTTATTAATGATGTTACTCGTCTCTTCGTAACATTAACATGGCGATGATTCTTGAATTTGTGAAGAACGAGGGGCGGTTGAGAGAGGCTTTGAGTTTTGCGAATGCTTGTGGCGCTTTGACTGTGACAGAGAGAGGCGCAATCCCCGCCCTGCCCACAAGAGAAGCTGTCCTCAGCGCCATGCTTCTCAAACCAGCAGCAGCTTGAGAGAATGCATGCAACTGAAGCTGATGTTGTACCTCTGTTTCACACTTCTTTAAGGTAAGCGACATTTTCAGACATGCATTGTAATAATATTTGCTGGTTTTCCTCCCTTGTGGATGTTACATGTGTTCTTGAAATCATTAGGCTGTAAGTGTGGCATAGAGCCTGGATATGTGGAGGAAAAAAAGAGGCTTCCATAGGAGGAGCCCTAGCGTCTAAGGTGGGGTTTTTTTTGGTCATGAATGCACCACAATGTAGGATCTGCAATGTTGAAATGGTAAGGAACCAACTCAACCAAAAGCTCTAGTTTGTGATTGTAAGCTCGGAAAATATTTTGAAATTCTAATTAGTCCATCACATGTAGACATGGTCACTTCGGCCTGGATCACATGTCAAAGAATCAACTCAACCAAACATTCAAAGTTGTGGTTGTAGGTCTAGAAAAGATTGTTATATTCTAACATAAATGAATGACGAGCTTTAGTTTGTTAGAATAAGTGTCCAACACTAGAGGGTGTTTGTGAATAGTTTGGCACAAGAATGTTAGTAAATTTCCACGAAATAAAAATGCATGGATAAAATATAAAGTGCAGATAGTAAAGCAACTAAGACTAAGAGCACATATTTTTACACTCGTTCACCACAATTTGTGGCTAGTCCAATTTCCGAGTCTCTTGGGATTCTATACACTCGTTAAGCTTACGAGTGTTTAACAAGACGTTACAACCGCTTGTAGATGTATCATATACAAGATTCCACACCATATGGACTCCTCGCCCAAGACTTCAACCATTAAAAATACGAGTACTTAGCATATCAGGTTAGAAATAACTTTAGATATATTTTGAATCAGATCAAAACTTAATAAAATCTAGTCATATTCAATCCCAATTAGATTAGACAAAGAGAACATGCTCTAAGTCTCGAAAACCGATTTTTCTGGTTTGCTGAAAAGTCTAGAAATTCACTCGAAGCTAGTTAGCAAGAAAACCGATTGTCCTTGTGGACATTCTATTTTGTTCTGGTTCAAGCTCAACTTAACGAGAATCGATAGTTTGTCTAGACAATCCATTTTTGTCTAAACGCCCGGTAAATTTTGTTGGCTTTGTATGCATCAATTGTCCCGTGGCGGAGGCTATGTGGGCCAAATCACATTCGAATGTCATAGGCGCTTGTGTGTGCTAAATGCAGTATAAAGCTAGGATATGTGCTTCGTTTAACACCACTTGGTTTTAGAAGAGTTAGTAGCTCCCAAGGTCTTTCAAATTTCACGAATGTTATATGAACTTTCAGCATTATTTCATATTGTTACAAGCTTTAAATCATATTACAAAAAAATGCCAATTTTCAAACTTCTTTCGGTCCATAATGAGGCCGGAACTCTTCCGTCACTTGCATGAACCGCCAACGCCCACCATTAAATTTTAGATCAAAGATTGGATGGTTTGGAGTGAGAGTGCTCACCCAATGGTGTCACTCATAGTGAGTTTTACATATGAATCTTTCCCGGTACAATCACAGACGGAGTATTTATTTTGAAAGTGGGGCACGTTTTTGTATGAGTTGATTGATCTACATGCATATATAAATAAAGAAAAATGCTAGGGTACACCAAAGGTTTTGGTGTACCCCATTTGTCCCCCATCCCCTCCATCACCACAAAAAAGGCAAGAAAATAAAAAAAATTAAATAAATAAAAATAAATGGTGGAGAAAGGGGTGGGGGACAAATGGGGTACACCAAATGGTGTACCCCTAGCATTCCTCATAAATAAGATACCGAAGAGTCTAATTCATCTTTTTTGAGCAAGGTATTAGAAGGAATTGTAATTGAATTGAGAGTTGAAATTCTATGAAATTGATTTCAATGTATTTGAATTCTCCAATTCCAAATTATTTTTGGTGCTACCAATTCCAAATTCACATATTTTTGTGCTACTAAATAACAGATTTTGAATTGTTGTCTCTAATTTCAATTCCGTAGTTTGATGAATTCCGCGTACCAAACGGAGCTTAGCTATACATATAGCTTTGGCTCGCCATTGTCCTTACGATCTATGGAGTATCCAATCCATCCCTTCTCCCTACCCAATTCCTCTCTCTCTAGAATATTTTTGTATGTTATTTCTTTAAGAGCTCAAAAGCTCCATTAATGGCTTCCTAGCCTAAATCATCTACCGTGTACACACCCCCGATATTAATAAAATTTCCCCGTTGGCAAGGTACCGCCAAAAAAGGCCTGTGGTTTTCTCCCGATTTGGGTTTCCACGTCAAAATCCCCGTGTTTATATTTTGGTGTATTTTTCAGACTAGTTTATCGTTTTTGCCCGGCTAAAAGCGATATTACGGTCGATAATTTACACCATCAGACATGATTATATTATTTTATCAAATACTCTGTAGGTAATAACTATAAGTAAAGAAAATAATTAAAATTTGACAATGTAAATAGTAAACATATAATTTAATTGGGGACACAAGGAGTATCAATACATGATAACAATCATTGTCGTGGGTGGAGAGCTTGAGGTCATGGTTGGAGTTACAATTTTTGTGTGGACCTATGGATGTGAGGGCCTTTATTCTTGCAACAAAAAAGTTCACAACAATTCTTATAACAATGCAATTGGGGCACTTACCAGTACCCGTTCGTAAAATTGATTGTCCCTAACCACTTAATCCCCCAGTAACCCCCCAAACCTATCCTGTCCCTAACACAACCCCTCCAATTGCACCACTTTTCATTTCGTTGACTTTGTGGTCAACTTTTTTTTCCAAATTTGATGGTCACTTGCACCAAGCTTCAAACTCACAACTAACCACTTGAACACATTTTTGTTATAGAACTCATATTACATTCACCACAACAACAATATAGAATCGAAACGACGTCAACGGTAACACCATATTAATATGTTAAGAGTTACATACACAGATAACTATGATACCAATTAAGGTATAGTACACAATTCAAATGTCATTAACATGAGGAGTGGCATTGGGAAGTGACCCTAATTGGGAGGGTGGATGAATGGGTATCCATTGCAACTCGAGCTCCAACTCGCCGCACTCAACATTCTTCAACCGAAGCACCATCTTCTGCACAACCTTACCCTTCTCCCATACTATGCCACTCTCCTTCGCGAGGCAATTCTCCGGGCTTGGTTTCACCTTAGTTATTACACTCCCGCTCGGGGTGTCGCGCATGTCCATCTTTACAGCTTCCATCAATGGCTTGACGTCAAACTCTGCGTCACCCATTTTGTCATCCATGCTGAATGTGTCCTTGTCGTACACTTGCTGCAACGGATATATGTGCTCATCATTCGGTTTTGTTTTTATCATTTAGTACTAGCTATTTATTTGCTCATTTTGAGTCAAAGGGTTGGGTGATTGTGAAGAATGAGCATTATTTGCCGAACAGATTGAAATACTGAATCCAATCGATGAAACAGATGGAAAAGTAAGAACACGTACCAATTTGACGGGGAGATTAGGGTCGGAAACGGAGAGAGTGAGGTCTTCGTTCCACTCGGGATTCACGTTGTTCTTCACCACTCTGGTCTTCAACTTCTGTTTGGCCAGGCGAACGACGACGTAAGGGTCGCTGGTGGAGATGTCTCTGATGGCCAAGTTCACGCCTCTCTGGATATGAATCCGGAGAAGGCCCAGCAAGTTCTCCATTGACGACGACGAAGCTCCGCCGTGATTATCAGCTCTGTGCCTCATCCAATTTCCAGTCCGGTGATCGATAATAATGGTGGATTGGATTGCTTTGGGGTTTTTTTTTTTGGTTTGGGGTTTGGTGGGTGGGATTGAGACTTGACGGAGGAGACCATTTAAAGGATGGGGTTGGTTTCCAATTTTCCAATTCTTTCATTATTACCGGTGCCTATTATTTTTGACTTTAAAATTAACGCGGCAATATTTACAGCACAACCTTTTGCCTCGCTGTATTTGTACAATTGACTTTTTACACCACCTGGATAAAAATGTTTCATAAAACACGTTTTTAGTTACGGTTAACAGAGTTTCATATACTCCAGTTGACCAGTCTCCATCAAATGTAAAAAATTAAAATCCTTAATTACAGGACATCTGGATTTTGTGAGTTGCATATTCATTTTGATTTTTAGCAAAATTTATGGGATATATATATATATATATATATATATATATATATATATATATATATATAAAGTTTGATGTTCAATTTTACTTTTAGATGTGATTGATAGAAATAAGATGTGATCGTAGATTAATTATGAATAAATATGATTTACGTGAATTGTGATATACTCCGATCAGATAAGAATTAGTAGGGATAAATTAAAATAGATTTTTTAGTAGAAAATGAAAGTATTTTATGGAAAGAATACAAAGTAAAACTGAAATTATTTTATGAAACCAGTGGAGCGAGTAGTATATTATTTGAATATAAAACCTATTCTAGGTCTACAACTTAAGTTTATATTTTTGGTTAAGTTAGTTCCTTTGACAGTATCTAAATAAATATTCTTGATTAAGAGGTCACAGATTTGAAACTCACCACTTCTCATATTTTTTGAAAAAAAAATATTTAGACTTCATGCATACGCAAAACTCAAAGTGATTTTCGTTTTATTTGACAATTTTTTTCTTGATGCAACTTTGGGCCCAAAAGCTCAGTGAACAAATATGGGTATAACTTTCAGCTCCTAAATGAACAATTATTTTGTGTTAAGCCCGACGATTCGGATCTGACTGGATTAGTGTTTGCAGAGGTCTATAGTTAAGTAATTTCTCTAGGAATAATGGTGCTTCACAATGGGCTTAAAAAAATTAAACAACTCATTCAAATCTCACAGAAAAAACAGTTTCCTTCGAAAACAAAAACAGATAGTTCATGTTCATATTGTGTGAAATTAATTAAGAAATATTTACACTAAATAACACTAAAACATAAATCATTTTCCAATGTAGGATTTAAACTTTTTTATTCTTTAAATAGCACTTAATAATTTCCAAAAAGAGAAATAATATCCAGTAATGGATGCTACATTAGGAAATAAGAACAATATAAAAGAAAAGTCCTTGTGTTTTGACGTTATTAGGCACTTAATTTCCTCGTTAATTAATCTACCGCAGTAACTGGCTACATAATTATGTAGCTAATTAATTACATACTCCGATCCCTACATTTTTCGCTAATAATTCTGACGTCCCGGCGGCAAAACTGGTGTCTCCGAGGGAACTCGTCGTCGCTGCGGCGCCCGTCGTCGAAGTTCTTAGAGTAACTCGCGGCATCGTAATGAAACGACGACGACGCCGGCTTGGATCTGCACAGCCCCTTCCCGTCATTCACTAGTTTCCTAATAATCCTCCGCCACGACGACGGAGACTGTTTCCGGCACCCGCCGCCGTTTATCCGGGAGTATACTTCTTGCGCGGGCACGGCGAAGGAAGGCGACACGCAGCCTCCGTAGAAGCCGTGAGGTTGCCGGCGGCGAGTCGGATCTGGCCCCTTATCCATATAATTACACACTCTATAGAGTATCTAGCTAGCTGTCTGATCTTTCCTCCGATCCGGGCACGGAAACTTGGCGGTAGAACTGATGAATGAAGAAGATGGATGGAAGATGATTGAAAATGGGTTGGGACCGTTTGATCTTATAACGGAGTTCCGACCCGATTAATTGAACCCCGGGGGGAAAGGGCAACGTGATCCTTACAGTCACGAGCTGTCAGAAATGGTTTTTGATTAGAGAGAGGGAGAGAGAGAGAAGGAAAGAGATATTCATTCAGACATTCAGTCGTATCGTAAGTACTGCCCGCCTATGCATGTGTTCTGGTTATTCATGTCTTGTTTGTGGAACCCACGCTCAAAACTATTTTTTTTTTCAATTGGAAAACAAAAATGCAAAGAAAATCCCACGTTCAATATCTAATAAGCACGTATGAGTAGCTCAACTGGTCCAATGAAAAAATGTCAGCCCCATAAATCTTAGGGTTGAATCCCGACAATGATAGTGTGAGATCAAAGTTCTATTTTTTATAATAGCTCTTTTTGCATACCGAGCACGGGGCTGCTTCTCTTGGAACCAGATTAATTAAGATTATACCCTAATTTATCTCTCTCACTATCTTGCCAGGCCGGGGTGTGAAGGCGCCCGGAGTGGGCGTTCCACCTTTTTTTAAAAATACACAAATACATTGCTATATTTTTTGGTTATGTACTTGACCATGTTTTGTAATGTAATTAACTCCTATTTCGAGAATAAAAATATGAAAGTTTTATTTTTGAATATTTTTAATGTTTTATTAATACTTTAGTCTTTTTTTCAAATAAAAGTTGCATAGTCTATATATGCCACAATAGAAATGCGGTCAAATAGTGCTGATACCCCTCGTGGTTTGCAAAACATGCACCAATATCTTCTCTCTTTTCAAAACTTATTTCTAAAGTTCCTGTAGTTTCAAAATGTTGCACCTGTGCCCCCTCTGATCGTTTTCCGGCCATTTTTCCGGCGAAAAAGGAGAGCATGTGCATATTTTCTAAACCATGGGGCATATCAGTGCTGATTTTTATTTCTTGCTTATTTTTTGTTTGTTCCGTTTTTTTCCTTTTTTGTTTCATTTATTAATAAAGGTTTTTTTAAAATTATTTTTATAATATTCTTAAAATTTAAAATTATTTTTGTTTGAAAAAATTAACATATAATGCATATGTACGTCTCAAATTAACAATTTTTGTTTTTCTGAAAAAAGTAAATTTTTTTAAGAATTTCAAAAAATGAGGAATAAAATAAAAAATAATAATACAAAAATAATAATGAATATCCTTTTTGGACATCTCAATTCTAAGGACTTTTTTAGGCGTGTCCAATTTTTTTTTTGTATAAGAATTTTTTTTGCATATTTTAATTTTTTCATTTCGTTTTTCCTTTTTTTTTATTCTTGGTTTTTTTTGAACTTTCTATAAAATTATTCTAAGTAACAAAAAGTGAAAATGTTTAAATTGAGATAGATGTAAAATAATGTGTTAATTTTTTTATTTTCATTTTTATTTCAAACGCAAAGAATTTTAAAATTTTTAAAACATTATAAAAAGTTGAAAATATATTTCAAAAACAAATCTAGGAAAAGAAAAAAAATATTTAAAAAAAGGAAAATACAAATAATAAACCAAAATAAGAAATGAGCATGAATGCCCCTCACTGTTTAGAAATTATGCGTTAATGCCCTCCCTGAGGCCGGTAATTGGCCAGAAAATAATCAACGGGGGTGTGGTTGCAACGTTTTAAAACAACAAGTACTTTAGAAATAAGTTTTGAAAACAGATGGAACATTGATGTCAATTTTTCAAACTAGAGCTATTTGGCTGTACCATTTTGAGGTTGCAACTTTCAAAGTGTAGACAAAGCATGTGAATTGATACAAAAAGAGCCGCGCCGGGCCAACCCAAATCTTACTATAGTTTTATTTTTAATGATTCTGCCGGGGCCGCTGTATATTCGTCTGCTCCCAAAATCCCAAATTAATTCTTCATTTCTTCCCCATCAAAAACCTATTTTGTGAGATATAAAAATATGATAAGATATTTCTTTTGAAATGCGAAAGAAAATGATAGTTCCCATATACGGAGTATTTTGAAATCTGAGACAAAATCTTTAGGAGAAAATAGAAATATAATTAAATGATAGTCACAATTCTTTAATTTGGTCAACAATTAAAACCGTACCACATGCAAATATCGGACCATGCATTACCCCTAAGATGTTACTCCATAGTATTTTTAGAATCATCGTTTATTATATGTAATTCTAATTACTTAAATTGGGTGTGAGTTTTAATAATAGGCATTGTTATCGAGTTGGACGGTACATAATGCACGTTCGTTCAATAATATTATAAATTTGAGAGTGCGGTCCGGGGCAATAGCTCTGGTAGCAAGGTCCAAGAGACAGAGACCCTAGCTAGGGTTAGGTCTGTTTGAAAAAAAATTATTTTGGATATTGTTGCCTTATGAAAATCTCAATTTTTCTAAACATAGTTATATGAGAAAACATTCATGGAACGGTACATTTGAATGTTTATGATAGCCATAAGCACCTCTTGGTAAGGGACACATACATTCAAAAGTTACGCGATTGGATCGGACACAATGCTTCATGCTTAAAATCAGTGAAACACAATTACTGCCGCACGCCCGCACACATTCGAATGTATTGGCCTAGAGTATGTTTTAGAGGTTAGTGGAATTTTCATACTTTTTCAAGATACTTAAGTCTTATTCGCTTGAAGTATTTTGGTGTATCCACTGAATAACTTAATTTCAAAGCATGTTTCACACCATTCGCTATGTTTGACAAGTTTCTTCATGTTCGTCGTATACCGTTTCTTATAATGCTACTATGCGACATTGTCACCCCTCTTTATTTTACAAGAAAGAGTAAGCTTATCATTCCCGGCCTAACAACACGAAGATGACAGTGACGAATCCGTGAGAGACAAGATATGATGTACAAGTTCTTAAGATTGGAGAAGTTGAAGGACAAGACTTTAAGCGTTGACAATGTGTGATTTATTTCTTCTCACCACTTTGAAGGTTGTGTGCGTTTGAGTATGTCAATACTGTAGATCCTGGAAGATAAGTTGTTGGACCACACATGGTTGCGGTCTTGCATGCATAATGGTTAGAGTGTTGAGTCCCTCGATGGATTGTTCCTTTATCAAATTAATTATGTCAATAACACTAACGTTTTAAGGTGAGTACACTTACTTTTGATTACTTTAGAACTCATGTTTTCTATCTTATGAACTCAGATCCCCTGACATCGATTACCACTCACGCACCTAGGAGAGAGAAATGATAGATTCAAATTGACAAGTAAAAAGTGTACTTGAACTCTTTCTGATACGAAGAGTTCATGTTACATATAGTCATCTAACATTGTCATTGCTAAAAATCAAATTTGACGTTATCCGGGCGTCAAATGGGGTGCATCAAACGTCTAACGGGCAAATGAAGCTTTGTGATTAGCAGGCCTCCTCTTTTCCAACGGCTATAATGCCGTTACCTCTTTAAAAAAGTTCTCCTCCATAAATTCATTCTTTTTATCATGAATACCTTCGGTTCCTCTATTCCCGCGTCTGGTCTTGAGCCAAACGAGTACGCGATGTGGCTTTACCAAACATAAGAGAATAATGTAACGTTTATCGATACGCAAATCTCTATGAATCTGGAGGACCCGAAGTCGATTCCAAAGACTCAACCTGAGCCCGGTGCACCAAAAAGAGTGCACGTTGGAAGAGTCACAATCTGAAGACCGACAAGCTGATGACAAAAAGCGGCACGGTCCATTAAAAAATAGACACCGCAAGAAGAATCGTTGTTGGTGTCCCCGTGGGTTGACATCTCGGGGCATTTTATTGTTGGTAAAATTTATATGTTTTTATTATGCACGGAGTATTGCATATATGTTCTTTTTTATATATTTGTGTTAAAATATATTTTTTCGCTCAATTATATATATTTTAAAGGTTCTGATCATATGAAGGATGCGACGTGGGATCGTATCGAGGAGAAGTTCTTTACGGCGATGAACAAGGATGCCTCTAACTAAACCCGAGACCAACTCACTTCTGAATGGACCACATCAACAAAAAAGTCTGAAAGTTTTTCAGAGTTTACGAGGAATGCTCTCAGGCTCGGAAGAGCGGGATGAACGATGATGATTTTCTACGGCAACTCACTCCCCGGTTTCAAGACGTTAGACACCAAGGAAAAGTCCATGTCGATCTTTGGAGAGTTTTAAGCTGTTTACTGAAATGGCAACAACTCCACAACCCCAAGCCCAGATTATCAAATAAAAGATCCTCTACCGAGGTTGAGGTCGATGACACTATCGGCTCGTCAGAACAAAGACTTCCATTCAACTTAGATGGCTCCGATGACGAGGACCCATGTTCCATGATTGGTCGGATGAAAGAAGGAAAAATCAATTGTCTCAGGTTGTTCAGGGTGTGTCTCTGTTTTTTTCTCACAATGATATCGGCCGGGCAAAGGTTGACCAACTGGGTGAGTTGTTCAATCTTAGGGAAGTAGAGGGGGGGAGAAACGAAAGACAGAGAAGAAGGAGTTCGAAATAATGGAAACCGATTTTAATATATTAACGAGATTCAAACGTATGTATTAGAAAACAAGACAGAACAAGATCGAGGCTAAATATAAATTGCCTTAGTTTTTTTATTATTGTAATTTTTCTTAATTTGATGTTCTTTTTTATTGAATATAATTTTTTTATTTAATGAATTATTTTTGATAGAATTTAAGATGAGGTATGGATCATTGGATTGAGCAATAAGATATTTGGGTTGAATCACATTAAAAGATTGAATCCAATCGATTAGTTAGTTCAACTCAATAGCTTATATACCGATTATTTTGCTCTTGAACTTCCGATGTGGGATGACACTCTAACAAATTTCATTTAAATTCAATTAATTAATGAAATTTTATTAATTTAATTTTAAAAAATATGTATTAAAAATTTTTTAAAAAATTGAAGTCCCAATTTGAAAGTCTTCGAATCCGTTTCAAGTGAAACTTGTGATGTTAGTTTGGGGGTTAAAACTGACCTGCAGTGCTCTTACACAGACGGACATTCTTAGCATGCGCGGCCCAATCTGTCCACCGTTTATGATGCTCAAATAAAACCGAGATCTGCTCCACTCCGCCTTCTCTCCCTTCCCGTCGGCCGTCACTTCCATCGCTCGCCGGTCTTCGGAAGGCGTCGTTCAAGAAGGTGAGTTTGTTATTGTTTGGAATTTTTGTATTTTCAGATATATATTAAGAGGAGTAATAGGGAAATTATGAGGAATTACAACGGAGGGGCTGGTCTGGTTTGGCTTTTGAATAGGGATAATATGATCTGGAATTACAACGCAGTTTCACATATTGTTTTTGCTAAAACTTGAAAAAAAAAATTGAGATTGAGAAAGTATTGCACTGGAAATCGAACATAGCAATAGAACGGAGATTCGATTCCATTCCATTCTGTACATTTTCAATTAATCAATTACACAGGCCATTATATATACAACCATCAAACCCTAGCATTATTGGTACCTGTCTGTATTTCTTTGTTGTTAATTAAATTCTTATATAGACCTAAGTTTTACATAAAAATATCCTAAATTATTAGGAATTTAGGATATGAATCTGTTTTTTAATTTTTTCACTTTATTAATTTGCTCATGTGAGAACTCCATGGTGGATCTCAGGGCCTTGATAGATTCCTTCTTCTTTGTTATATTAGTTGGGGAAAAAGCAAAACCTAGCGGTCTAGGGGAAAGAGGAGGAGGTGAAAAAAATGGCCAGAGCTGGGGGGATAACGAACGCGGTAAACGTGGGAATAGCGGTGCAGGCGGACTGGGAGAACCGCGAATTCATCTCTAACATCTCCCTCAATGTCCGCCGCCTCTTTGACTTCCTCGTCCAATTCGGTGAGAATTAATTGACCCTTAGATCACTTCATTTTTTACTGCAGTTTGGGATATTCTCTGATGTTTACTCTGTGCAGAGGCGACAACGAAGAGTAAACTGGCCTCTCTCAACGAGAAGCTCGATACCTTGGAGCGCCGGCTAGAGCTGCTCGAAGTTCAAGTCAGCACGGCCACCGCGAATCCTGCTCTCTTCAACACATGATCAAGAATCATATTCCCACTGATGGATTTGTACTGTAAGGTTCAGAGCTATTCATTTCTGCCCTCTTATGTATCTATATGTTCATCCTAGGCGAGAATTAGTTAGGTGTTGTAGAAATGAAGTGTTTTTGTTTTCTTCTAATAAATTGTCATTGAATCTGTTGTTCTGTTAGAGGAAACCATTCATGATTCATGGACTCACAGTGCAGGAGTTTCTTCCATGAATATGAAGTAAAACAAAGGATTTCCTTATCCCATTTCTCATTGTACATGTTTGACGCATAAAGCCATATGATTTCCTTTAAGAATCTTCTTGTTTTTAATCTTATTTTGTGAACTAATTTCATTTTCACATTGCATTAGTATACTTTAGAAGCTCATTGTTGCGATGATGGTTTATATTAGGATCACTTCTCCTCTCATGCAGAAGCACTCTGGAAAAGCCTTCAAGGTGAGATCTCATTATTTAATACTCCATACACAAAGTTTTTCAACATGGGTCGAGCTAATCTAAGCCTATAAAACCCACCTCAAGAATAAGAAGAATTGTACATCTGAAACTCTTTCGTCTCTTAAGTTTGTACATAGTCTCTATACTTTTGCGTACAAGGAATCATCGCATGTTGATTGATCAACTTCGGATCGTTGTTATAGATTGTTGGGAATCAAACCATTGCCACACTCGAATAAGAGAAAGAGATGACTCAAAATAAATAGGTTTAACTTAACTCATTAGTATGAGTCCTTTTGAGAGGTGTCTAAAAACAAGTTCGTGAGAGCTTCGATTCAAGTGGATAATACCATAATAATAATGGTGACAATATCATAATAATATTGGGTTAGGGTGAAGGTACACGTGGTATCGAAGCCACCCCGTCTCAAAATAGATGTACGAGTAAACTATTTCTTTCCTTCTTGAAATACAATTTGACATTTATTTTTGAAAGAAATCACCCCTTGATAGGATTAAAATATATCATATGTTTCCAAAATAAAAGTTTCATGTTTTTATGCCTGAAATAGGACTAAAATTATTTGATTTAAAAGCAAACTCCATGCGCGGCCTTCCTATGTAACTGAATCGGGAAAAAAAAGAAAAAGGAAAATCTCGCGTGCACCATCTCTCCTCCTCGATCGATCGATTCCCTTTCGTCGCCCCTTATATCTATAGCCATCGCCGCCTCGTGCAGTGCTATCGCCGTTGCTACCTGCAGCCCTCTTCGCTTCGTTGTGCCGCCACCACCACCACTATCTTCAAAGATTCATCGTGATGCATGCCACACTGCCACAAAATCAGCCTATTCTTTTCTTTTTCTAATGTTTCTTCGGCCGCGGGCGGCAGCATCGATGGAGAGTCCATCGTATTCCGGAAGATGACTTGCGAGAAATGTAGATTTGACTTTGGCATCTTTGAAGAAATTTAATGAAATCAAAGTTCATTCTCACAAGTTGATCCTTAACCGGAATCCGGTATTTTAATTTCACCCATTTTATCTTATTTAACATTATTCAAGACTATTGAATTGAATAAATTTTGATCATGAATTAAAAAAAGATTTGGAAAACAAAAAATGATGTGATTGGGACATGGCTCAGTTGCGAGCACCAAAAAGGCAATGTTGCGATGTGTTAGCTTCAAAATTAGAAAGGGTAATGGAGATTGACATTAGAGAATAGGTTTGGTACTCTGGCATTGTATATGAAAAATTATGACATTTTATATGACTATATGACAAGTTGTGACATTGTATGTGGAAAACTATGACATTGTATATGACTACATGACAAATTATGACATTGTATATGAGAAACTATGGTAATCTATACTGGAATATGTGGTACTATGCATTGAGAGCGTTGTTGTCGATGATGGTAAAAAATCAACAACAATTGTGGATTTTGATAGCGCGGGCACATCATCACAGTGGGGGCGGAGTAAGCTAGCGGCGGAGATTGAAGTAATCGTGGCATGCAATAGAAACGCGGTGGCAGTGGGCCACGGTGATGGCGACAGGAAGTCCTGGCGAAGGCGGCATTGGCAAGGGGTGCTGGCGGTAACCTTCGGTTAGCAGCCAATAGTTTCCGATTCATTTCAAGATTTTTTTTGTTTATTTCCGTATTGCCGATTGAGTTTAGCACGTGAGGCTTAGTTTAGTTGTTTTAATATTTTTTAAATTTTAGTCCTATTTGGGGTTAAAGATATTGGGGTCCTGTTTTTGTTTTTTTTCTTGTTTTACTCTCTTTTTCCCTATTTTTGATCCTCGGAATGTAAAAAAAAAGAAGAAAAAGTCAGTTGTTTTCAAAAAAAAGAAAAAGTTTTTAAAGTAGGACTTTGAGAAGGGCATTTTGGTCCACAGAAAACAATCTTGTACTTCGCCGTCGGGGAAGTTGTACTCCGCGCCAAATGACGCAGCAGTAGTAGTACGAGTGTCGTCGTCTTTGTCCAAACGTGCTTTATAATTATTGGCTCTTCAGCTCATCAGACACCCAAGGCCATACATTTAACGATCAAGCCGCAGATCGGTAATTTTCCGGCGATCTTCATTTCCTTTCTTGTCCCGGAGTGGTAAGCTCTCAAATAGATTTTTTTGCTATCACATCTAGTTGATTTCTTCCTTGTATGCTGCTATGCACTTTTTTTTTGGGTTTATTTGATCTTTTCAATTTATCAGCTAATTTGGTCGATTAAGATTGAATTTTCAGCTCTGATTGTTTTTATTTTGACTTGATTGAGTCATAAAAAATGAACGGTGGATTAGTGGTCTATGCTTTTTCAGCATATAGCGTTGATTGCCGCAAGAAAAGATTAATGGAATTAGTGGGAATTGTTCTTCAGCTCTGTGTAATTGTTGGGTTTTAGGTCGGTTGGGAGAAAAGAATGGAGATGGAGTGGAACTTGGCACAAAACATTGTGATAGGCCTAGACCTTGTGGCTGCAGCCAAGCAGCAACTTGATTTCCTCGGCGCCGTTGATAGGAATTGCTGGCTGTATGAAGGCCCTGCTCTTGATAAGGCCATTAATAGGTATACTTATTGAATTTCTGTCAAGGGGAAATTCTTTTACGGTCTATTTGGATGTTGGAATTAGTGCCCAGAATTGGAATTGTGTTTTTTTTTGGCATAGCTCCTGCTCAACAGTTTTTTCAAGTATCGGTGTGGTTTCTGTAGAATTTTAATCTGGATCCAATGGTGGTTTTTGAACTTGTTGGGAGACTTTGGATCAATGGGGGTGTAACATATAAGGACCATTGTCCTGATTTCAGGTACTATACATGTTGGCTTCCGTTGTTGGCAAAACATTCTGAGTCGCCTTTTTTTGAAGGACCTCTGGTCGTTCCTCTTGATTGTGAATGGGTTTGGCACTGCCACAGGCTCAATCCAGTAGGTTTCTGATATGAATTGATTTCACTTTCGGGGTTTTGTGTTTTTTATAAGTTCTGGGATATGACACATCTAAAGGTTCCTTGCCACTTCTTTTGCAGGTTCGGTACAACTCTGACTGCAAGCAACTATATGGAACAATCCTTGACAACCGTCACGTGGTTTCCTCGATCAAAGGAACGCGAAATGGGCAAACTGAACATGTCTGGAAACAGTTGTACCCAAGTGAACCATATGAGCTGGACTTAGCGAGAGCAATTTCGGGTGAGCCGGAGAAAATGTCTGAGCTCACAAAGTGCAGTGACTATGACTTAGTTTCAGCTGTTAAAAGGCAAAGTCCATTTTTCTACCAGGTAAACTCTCAAGATAGTTTCACTTCCGCAACAGTATAATGAAGTAACCTTAGATTTCGATAATGTTGAATTAAACCAATGTTTTCAAATGTCTCAAACCATGTCATTGTTGCAGGTATCAAGAGCTCACATGAAGAGTGATCAGTATCTTGAAGGGGCCGTGGCAAGATATAAAGGATTCTTGCATTTAATCAGAAGAAACAAAGAAAGATCCATCAGATGCTTCTGTGTTCCGACTTATGACATTGATCTTATATGGCACACTCATCAATTACATCCCATTTCTTACTGCAAAGACCTTTTGGAATTACTTGGAAAGATTTTAGAGCATGATGATACTGATTCGGACAGAACAAAAGGGAATAAATTGGACACGGGGTTTTCTAACACTGCCAAACATTGGGAAGAAACATATGGGTGTAGATATTGGAGAGCAGGGGCAATGTACCGAGGCCATGCACCATTACCTCTGGCAATTAATTGTCACTCTCCCGACTATGTAACCAAGAAGGTAGTTATGGCCCATACACACCAGAGATCATTACATCTACCTGAAAGAAGGTTTCTTGAGGTAGTTTATTCTTCTCTTTTCCCTTTGTTCCCTTTCTCTAGACAAATTGCCCAAGGGTATGTTTGGTTCACGAAAAATGGTAGGAAAGGAATGAATTTGAACAAATATCTAATACGGAGTATACATTTTACTTATTTTAGGCCTGTTTTATCTTTTGCTACTAATTTTCCAATTCATTTTCTTGCATATCTTCATTTACTAGTATTTTCTGAGTTCCAAGTGGAGTATGGAATACGTCTTGAATTAAATGAAAAACACAAAAATATAAAATCAATGTTCCCTTCAACTCAAGGCTGCTTGTGAGGTGTCGCATATACCTTGTTATACTTGTGGCTTGAAACAATGCTATGAATGCAATGGTAACTTTTTTTTATCCTCTTTAATGTCTTCCAGGTAATGTTGGAGTTTGTAGGCTTAAGAAATGTACCAGAAGACCATAAAGGGAGGTTCTTCGTCTCTTTCAGTAAAGAACAGCCTGATCAAATCTTCAATTCAACGAGGAGTCTTAATATATTTTCTGAGAGCGAGGAAAAGCAGGTCGCTTGCTTTCAATGTCAAGCTAGTGGAAAATTGCTCTTTGAACTTAAGAACCAGTCATGCTCCAATCTACCATTGTCAGAACCTGTCAAAACTATGGGTTCTGTTTCTGTCTCTCTGGAAGAGTTATTATCCCCAGCCACAAATCTCTCTATGGAAAAATGGCTTGAATTGGTTCCAAATTCTAAGATGGCATTATCAAAGCCTATCCTTTTAAGAGTTGCAATCTCCGTTACAACGCCATGTAAAGCACCATATGTGCTTCACATGATTCGCTCTCGACCGTTTTTGAAAAGTTCATGCCTTTTCCCTCTCCCTGGAACGGGTCAAAATTGGACACGCATCATAGGTGAAGATGGTGACGAGATCATCAGCATGCACATGAGGTACTTATTGATTTGGAACCTTTTGTTTAGCTTGATATTTTTATTTGTGTATGAGAATAATGACATTATCTA